GGAGAACAAAATTGATTAGTCAAATTTACTTATTAAACAACGGACCAAGTTTTTATTTTTTTTATTTTTTTTATTTTTTTATAATCTAATGAGAGATAGGGCCTAGTTAGTTATATAATAGTCGTGCTTAGATATATATTTTTTTTTGTTCTTTTAATTGCAGAAAGAATCCAAGATGGCAGCAACGGAGATGTGGCTATTGATGAATATCACCACTATAAGGTTTAAATTTTGGTCATATAACTCTCATTGTTTTTTCTTAGAAAAGAAACTTGACAAACACATATGCCTTTTTGGCCTTTTTTGCTTCGAGCCCAGTAAGAGAAGAGAACATAGCTATAGGAAATTGAAAATGAGATCCTTTTAAGGTTCTTTTTTATAATTATATCTTTTGTGTTATTGTAGGAAGATGTGGGGATTATGAAGAACATGGGGTTGGATGCTTATAGATTCTCTATCTCATGGCCAAGATTGTTACCGAGTGAGTTCATCAATGACATTCGTGTATATATTGTACAGAACATGTCTCTTCCTTGAAAAAATAATTCATGTGGCCCTCCTTTTATATCGTTGTATATAAGCAACTAAGAAAGTGTTGCAAGCTTAGCTGTGTTATCAGTTAAAGTCGTTATCGAAAAAATTGAACCAAGAGAAGGAATAGTTTACCATTGGCCCTTTCTTTCCTTACCACTTATTATTGATTGAGTTATTTGTGTATTTGCTTGTTTTGTTCTTAATTATTAGATGGAAAGCTAAGCGGAGGCGTGAACAAGAAAGGAATCAAATACTACAACAGATTCATAAATGAACTCCTACACAATGGTGAAGCAGCTTTCTATATATAATCACATAAAACCTCAATATCAATCCCACCTGAAACACCACTTGGTCAACTCTTTTCTATTACTCATGCAGGTCTAAAGCCATATGTAACTCTCTTCCACTGGGATCTTCCCCAAGCCTTAGAAGACGAATACGGTGGTTTCTTAAGCCCTCATATTATGTACGTGAACAAATTAAGATATACCATTTCAAATATGTTAGAAACCAATATTTGATTTTAATTTTTACAACCATCGTTCGCGTGTGTACAGAAATCACTTTCGAGACTATGCAGAGCTTTGCTACAAGGAATTTGGTGATCGGGTAAAATACTGGATCACATTGAATGAGCCATGGAGCTATAGTGTTGGTGGTTATGCAAAAGGGGACTTCGCGCCCGGACGATGTTCTAATTGGCAGAAGCTAAATTGCACTGGTGGGGATTCAAGTACAGAACCATATATGGTGGCACACAACCAGCTCCTTGCACATGCAACTGCTGTAGAATTGTACAAGAAGAAATATCAGGTCTTTTTTTCAGCACGCTGGGCTAGAATATTAGGTCCTAATTGAGAACTATATGTGAATAATGGAGAATTCTATATGACTCAGTAATCCTGTTATGTTCAAAATTAATCTGCAGGCATCTCAAAAGGGTCTGATAGGGATAACGCTACTGTCACATTGGTTTGTGCCTGTTTCTGAAGCCAAGCACCATAAAAATGCTGCATTACGAGCCTTGGATTTTATGTTTGGATGGTCAGTACCTAATATAAATCTGTAACTCGCTTACAATACTTAATTACTAGCATAATCTAATATTTGTTTCCCGAATATATATGTTAATAGAATATTAATTTAAATACATTGAACAAATAAAAATATGCTTTATGAATGTTTAAGTTTGGAAGCAACTTTTGTTTTGGCTTTATAATAAGCCAAATTTCCGGCAATATAACATGCCAAATTTTCCGACAAGAAAATATCCTATTTAGCATTAAGTCTGTAATGGGAATTTCCACATTTTTGTAGGTTTGCGGAGCCAATAACAAGTGGTGACTATCCGCACAGTATGCGGTCTCTTGTTGGAAATCGTCTACCAAACTTCACGAAAGCAGAATCTAAATTGCTAAATGGGTCATTTGATTTTCTTGGATTAAATTACTATACTACTTATTATGCAGCCTATGCACCTCAACATAATTCTGTAAATGCAAGCTACTTGACAGATGCTCGTGCTAATTTTTCATGTACGTAGTACAAATTCAAAGCTTGTTGATTACCAATTTTTCAGTTTCTCATAACAATTAGAATTTGACCATATATATTGTGGCAGTTGAGCTTAATGGGGTCTCTATTGGTCCAAAGGTACACATATCAAATTAGCTTAGCTGTTAGCGTTAGTGGTATTATTAATTGTTTTTCACAGACAAATGTAACCTCTACAAATCTCTCAATTTCTATGGTATTACAGGCTGCTTCAGATTGGCTATATGTTTATCCAAGAGGAATTGAAGATCTTTTACTCTACACAAAGAGAAAGTATAATGATCCACTCATTTACGTTACGGAGAATGGTAATTATTTAGATAGTTGCATCATCAAGTTTTCACATGTAGTGTAATTATTGCTATTAAGTACACATTTAAAATGAACTAACTAGTGACATTTCTGTTCACTTTGTAATAATTATAGGAGTTAGCCCTTCTCTTTTTGGAAAATGAACAAGCTTAAAACTAAAGGACTAACATGTTACATATTTGTTGTAGGGATTGATGAGTTCAGCCATCCAAAATTGTCACTTGAGCAAGCCCTTAATGATAGCCAGAGAATTGACTACTACTATCACCACCTCTATTACGTTCAACGAGCCATCAAGTAAGTGCTCAACAAACCCTACACATATCCCCTGTGGTTGTATATGTGTGTGACATTACATATATATATATATATTATTTATTTATTTATAAATACACATATGACATATAGATGTATGTTCGTATATATGAATGTAACATATATATGCTACGGTCAATGGGGTCTAGCCCAGTGAAAAAGGGCATTGACTTGAAGAGTTTCAATTCTTAGGTTCGAACCCCCATGGGCCATGGCATCAGATGTGTGTGTGTGAGAAACCCCCTCCCCTCTAGTTTAGACTATTGCTTGTACTAAAAAAAAACACATATATACTATGTACATTCATATACATATATATGCCTAAGCTTTTTAGGTTTTGTTAATTCCATCTTTTTGTGCAGGCACGGTGTCCATGTTAAGGGATACTTTGCATGGTCTCTGTTGGACAATTTTGAATGGAATAATGGTTACACTGTTCGATTCGGTATGAACTTCGTGGATTACAAAAATGGGTTGAAAAGACACCCAAAACTCTCAGCCCATTGGTTCAAAAAGTTCCTAAGTAAAGTTCCTAAGTACTAGGGAAATCGAATTGCAGACTTGTTTGTGACCAAATAAATAATGTATAATGGGAATGTTGTTTGTGTATGAACAAGTATAAATAGTCGGTTGGGTGACCAAATTCCTTTTGACGTTTTGAATTCCGATGGGTTCGTATTGATCTCAAATTCTGATTGTTCTAATTTCTAATTATCTATGTTTAATGCGGATTTGATTAGGTTACTAAATTATGAACCCAGACTTTCTCATGTCAGCCATTGTGTCCTGAGAGACTGGGGATTGCCTTCTTTTTTTGGTCGAAGTGGAATTTCATTAAAACACGAAGAGCAGCACAAAAGAACAGAGGACCCAGAGGGGCTAAGAAAGCTAAGAAGAAAAACAAGGCGATAAAAAGCCGAAAGCCCCTAACAAGCAGCAAGGCAAGCAAGCTACAACAAAAGGCATAAATCAATAGAAAAATCAAAATCATGCACCAAGTTCCATACCAAGCTAAACAGGGGGCAAGGAACCCTATGCAGAATTAGGGCGTGGAGCCGGCGTCCATCTGACTACCGTTGTGGACTCCTCCTCCCTATAGTGTTGCAGTGGCTGCAGAATTAGGGCTACTAATACTGTCAAAGACTAAATTGGTCTCTTTTTTCTTTCGGGCGGCCACATGACATGTAAGCAATTCCAGCGGAGGGCTGAGCCCAAGGCTGGGGGGGGGGAGGAAAATGGTGTTCCAACAGACAGCCCAAGCCCGGGCTGGGAGTGGGTCCCACGAAGTCGGGTTGGCCCTTCAGGCCAGTTCAGCCCGAGCTCAAGCCCAAGGGCTGTTGCTCACATCATCGATATAGTGCCGCTACAGTGCTACGCGCTACAGTGTCGCTAAAGTCTACGTGTCGCTCTCTGGGCCCTCCGATCAGATTTTTTTCTCCAATCCAACGGCAGCCAATTTTTGTGCAATAAAAAAAAAAATCGAATTTTTTTTAAAAAAATACCAAAAAATTACTAATTTTTTTTCTATAAATACCAAAATTTTATCCTATTGAGATATGAATTTTATAATAAATATTGACACTTACGAACCCAAAAATCTTATCCGAAAATATTATCCAAATTAATTGTTTAGGTAAACAAATTTGTGAAAAAAAACAAAAAAATGAATAGTAATTGCCCTTTGCCATGGCAACAGGTGAAAACACACAATACTATTTGCAAAGGCAACCACTATTCATGTGAATAGTGGCTGCCCTAGCTCCCCCCTTGTCATGGCAAGGGGCAAATGGGTGGAGTTGCTCTTAGTGTTATGCTTTTTTTTTTTTTAATTTTTTTTTATAATTTTAATTTTATAAATTCGGCTGGTGTTATGCTGTTTATGTATCCCTTTTGGATAATGAACAAAGATTGGAGATAGGTCTTTAATTGGCTATTTAATCTTTAAGTGATTTTACCCACTTAAACAAAGATTCCACATTGGCCTCTTCTTAATCAATTTAAGTAGATATATGGGAGTTTACAAGGGTGCTTTACAAGGAAATAGATACATTGTCCTAATTAAACAAGGATGTGTAAACTATATAAAGCAATGAAGTAAATTACCTAATTAACTTAGGAAATAAATCTCCTTGATTATGTAGGTTAACTCACGTCAACACTCATCCTCAAGTTGGTGCATACACGTCACCAATGCCCAACTTGGTAAGTGAGTCATAAAACACTCGTCCACAGACAGCTTTTGTTAAGACATCTGCTAATTGATCTTCTGATTTTACAAAGGGTTAACAGATGATCTTGTTCTCAATTTTTTTCTTTGATGAAATGTCTATCCACCTCAACATGATTGCCTCAACATGTTTAGTTTGATCATGTTGAACTTGATTATGAGCAATATCAATAGCTGACTTATTATCACAATGTAACTCTATTGGTTTCTCTAGTTTAAAACTCAATTCTGTTAAGAGTCCTGTGATCCACAATAATTCACAAACTCCTTGAGCCATTCCCTGATACTCTGCTTTTGCACTAGAAGGAGTAACCACATTTTATTTTTTACTTTGCCAAGTGACTAGGTTACCTCCAACGAATGTAAAGTAACCCGATGTAAAGTGTCTATCTGTAATGGAACCAGCGCAATCAACATTAGTATATCCAACAACTTCAAGATTTTCTTTCTTTGAGAACATTAATCTTTTTCCACAGGCTGACTTTAAGTATTTTAAGATCCGATCAACTGCATTCTTATGAGAAACACTAAGTGAATGCATAAACTAACTAACCACATTCACAGCATATGCAATACTGGTCTTGTGTGTGCCAAATATAGATGAGAGTGGTCTCCTTTTATAGGTGAGGGGGAGCCTTCATTTCTTGTAATATTCCAATGTGGGACTCTTTGCTTTGCCTAGAGTTGCTTCTAGTTGCTTGGTCAAATACGGTATAAACAAAATAAACAAATAAAAATTAATTATACCTCGAATAACATGTCACGTAGCCCCTTCCTCCTCGAGTTTGCTATTGATCTTACTAATACAGAGAGAGCTAAATAAGAAAAAAAAAATATTAAAAAAAGAATAAACAAAATTGGCGTTTGCTCAAGAAAAAAAAATGCATTCGACTTACTTTGGATTGGCGTACTCAAGAAGGAAAAAAAAAACGCTGGATTCTTGTGATGCACACACACTTTGATGAAATTGAGTGATGCTAAATTGGTCTTTTATAAAGAGAATTCTCAATTCTACTTAATTAAGGAATTCCCAAAACCCAATTGAATAAAGAGAACTCCCAATTAAAACCCAATTAGGTAAGGAAATATAAGCCCTTTTGAAAAGCCCACAAAAAGCCCACGTGTAACAACTTACAGCAAAAGTTTCCCTTTTCTCTTTTTTTCTTTTTATAAAAAAATATAAAACCCTTGGTCTAGAACAACGTAAAAAAAAAAAAAAAAAAAAAAAGCAAAAAAAAGCTTGGTCCAAAACGACGTCCGTTAAAAACAAAGAAGCAACGTAGCACGCACCAGCAGCTGCAGCAGCGCCTAGTGGTTTGCACATTTCGTCGAACACATTATGTGCATCATTGGTCTGAAGTAGAGGTGCAACTCCAGGCTCTGTAATGGCGATTTCCGGTGACCGAAGGTGCAAGCGCACCTCCTTGCCCCTGCACAAGTCCACCACTGCTTGGAGGCATTATAGACCTTTGATCATACTAAATAGCCATGTTCTCTCTAGGGCATGAATCTAAGGTGTAGTTTGGGTTCATGATCAATTCATGAAGCATGTGAGTATATGTCAAAGGATCTCTAACTTCAATAAAGAATGAGAATGCTTTGACGATATGACTCGGTAGTCTTTGGCCAAAGTATTGATCATGATTAAGAATAGAGATTCTGATTGTGCTCTTATGAGTCATATAAGCTGAGGATTTGCATTTGGAGCTTGATATGAATTTTGTGCCTTTATAGTGTGATCAAGAGCATTGAGTAAGAGAAGGATTGTATTACATTGTAATTCGAACTTAATAGGTTCTCAACCTCCTTCTATATTGGCTTGGGTAATGGTGACATGTTGCTAGACACAGTCACAATTTCTGGAAGCCCTAGGGACATATCGTAATTAGGTGCTTATAAAATGGAGAATTAAAAGGGGATTTTAATTCACAATCAATCAAGGAAGAGTTTGGATCACCCACTGCCTTGCCGATTAGAACCAAATATATCGCACACTCCTAAGGTCGTTATGGAAAAAGAAAATAGTGATGACGTGCATGAATTAATTAGTTTAATATAGAGTAAATGATTAAGCAAATGCAAATGGTTAGGTTCGGGCCTCAAGAAGAAATCTGGGTTCAATGTCCATTGGGCTTGGACCTATTGGGCATTTGACATTAAGTGGGCATGAGAAGGATGACCACGTAACGGAAAGGCTATAATGAGGGCTTAAAGTGAGGAGGTTATTTGAGGAGGTCAAATCTCACCATCAACAAATGTAAAGAAATCATGGGACTTAAATATTTTAAATGTTTTGACGGTCGGATCGGTCTCCTCAAATAACCTCCTCACTTTAACTCCTCATTGTAGAAGCTCCCGACCACATAAACCTAATAGGCACAAGAGAACCATAGGGCCGGTTTTACTAGGAGAGAGAAGGGATCAGGATATTTTCTCTTGGAACTTAGCCTCCAATGCCATCAATCTCTTTGCGTTATTTTTGTGAAGCGGAAGAGAACCATCAAGCTCTCCCATGCCATAGCCAAGGCCGACCATCTTGAAAGTAAGTTCACTAGCATCAATTCCTTTCAAGGGATAACTCATCTTTTCCATCACTTTCTTGGTGTGTTGAACTTAGAGGTCTCACATTTATGGGGCTATTTCTTTAGAGCCAAAAGAAGAAGGCCCTCCTTAGGGTGATAGACCTTGAGAGGTGGTGCTTCAAAGGTAAAAGTTTTCCTCTTCTCCATTAAAGAGTAGTGGTAGAGAGTCATGGAACATTTAATACTTAGTCTATGATGAATTTTTATTATTTTTAAGCTAAATATCTCTTCTTCTTTTTTTGGGATCAAATAGAAACTTCATTAGATAAACTTCAACGATACAATCAAAGACATCAACAAGACATCTAAAATACCAATCCCAATAGGGCAATAAACTAACATGCTAAAAGCAAAACTAACGCGAACAAAAGTCGCACTAAAACTAGTAGCCCACATCACCACAAATAGCCATAAGCCCCAACAAAGCCCACAAACCCAACATAACCAAAACCCTAAACCAACTCATGAGTCTAAACGAACCCTACCACCACCACCTGAAGAAGCGCCGTCGTGGTCACACCACCACCGCATCCGTAACATAGGGAAAATATGATTTCTGGCAATCTACCTGCGCATAAGAGCGAACAAATAAACGAAAACAATAACTTTGCCAAAGAATAATTGAGTGATTTGCAGCAACCTTCGTCAAAGACGGTGTAGAATCAAATTTAAAAAACATGAGCGGCGTTAGAGAGCGGGTTTTGGGAGTAGGATTTGATTGAGAACTTAGACTAAAATAGGTGATGTGGAACTTCAATCTAACCATAGCTTAGAAGAAACCAAAGGGTTTTTTTTTTATTCAAAACGCCACAATGGATTTATTCACTCAAAACGCCCCAGTGGACATAGTCACTCAAAACGCCACAATGGACTTATTCACTAACCTAAAAGGAAAATATAAGAAGAGAAGACGGGGAGGAGGGCAGTGACGCTTCTTCCTCCTCCCCCCTCTATGGAGTTTTCCTTCAGGACTTACAGAGGGAGAGAATAGCTAGAATTTGGGAGATATAATAGAAGCTCAATATCTCTTAAATAGCTTCGGTTGCATAAATTAAAGTAATCTAGGTTGTGGCTTACATGAATTTTTCAAAATAATAGCACATTTTATTCACCTAGCAAAACGGCAGAATATGTATTTTAGTAGTAGAATATCATATTCTTATTATTATTATTTTGAAGTATATCATATCAGTTTTGGACCTTGAAATGAACCCTCAAAACGGGAAAGCAAGTAGGTGGAGTGAATTGTAATTGCGAAGGTAATAACCCAATAATTGTAAATGAAACATGAAATATCACAGAAATAAAATGACTGATTCATTTGAACTACCAAAATAAATTAAAAAAATTAAAAACCTGCCTATCATTTGAAAGCTAAGAGTGCTATATAATCTGATCACTGAATAAGAAAACCGTAACCTTAATACTGGTTCCTATAGCTGCATTTGAAGAATTACGTCAGCGGGATAAAGGGTTTCAAAATGAACAATTGTAGAAAACCACTTGGGAAGTCCATGAATCATAAGTTGTTGAAACTCCTGGCTTTCTGTGTTATATGAAACCAAGACTCCGTTCTCATACTCTAGCAATATCTCTCCATTCCTCAGAGAGCATAGAACCTGTATTTTACCTTTGCTTAGAGTTGGCCTCTTCCATATTCTTGAGCTTGGACGAGAATTTCTTCTTTCGCTTAAGCTTCTAAATAAACTCTCCCCAATTACGTATTCCTTGGTCCAAGACTCCTTTGAACCATACTCTTTCATTATCCATATATCAATTTTTCCATCATCATGACAAACAACAGCTGAGAGACACCCTCCTAAGACCACAAGATGAAAATTGCAAATGTTGAGAATTCCACATCCCGGACTCTCAATCTCCCTAAACTTTTCCTCAGCTAAATCGAAACAAACAATACGCAAACAAGGACCAGGTCGATGTTTGTGGCGCGTTGTCACCCAGTGAAGATTACCGTTGACTAATGCCTCGGATGATCCTTGCTCAAGCTTGCAACGAGGAGAGACCGAAATTCTCCAAGCGTTTGAGCCAAGAGTTAAAACTTGGACACGGGACTGTAGAGGCAGCTGGTGACCTTGGTAGTAGTTGTTTAAGTATGATATCCAAACAATTTTGTACTCCATTGTGGTGGGGTGGAAACCAAATCCAAAGGCTACTTCTTGTTGTTTGGGGTATTGGGTTGTGTTTGGCAGCCGAATGTAATTTGTGGTTAAAGGATTGAAAACCAGAAGAGGGTTGAAGTAAAGTGCGTTGGAGATGCACAAAAGGCCGTTACACGAACCAACAACATGGAACTCGGGTGCAACATATCGGATTTGTGCATTGATCCTTCTCGCATTGTTCGTGTAGTGCTCATGATGTCTAATTTGGCTGCTTTCAACGAAATGTAAACTGTTCTGGATCGGAGAATCGCAGTGAAGAATGAGACATGGGTTTCTCTTATTTGCTATGGCCTGGTACATTATAAGGAGCCGAGGGTCTTTGCCTAAGGCACGCCAAGATCGACACACACACTTGATTTGCATTAGGGAAGTGATTGGAAGCCTGGAAAATATGTCGAGGGCAACGTCACGGGGAAGCTTTTCCATGTTGATGCCTTCAAAGGAAATGAAAACAGGACACACTACATATGAAGGCTGCAGATTGTTTAAGCCAAAAGCATATTAGGGAAAGGAAGAACTCAATTCCTTCAAGGCATGGTGGACGATCAGGGCTTCGATGATAACGAGGTATGATTAATTTTTTTTGTCTTCATCTTGAATAAATAATACAAAGTGATAACGTTTTTTTATATTAAAATAGTGTATTATATGACTTGAAGAAAAGATCAAGAAATAACAAAACAACAACAAAGCGTTCCACTTAATGCAACCTAAAAGGTGTGGATTATATTACTAACCCATTTTGGCCTAAGCGTTTGTATGTTCTGTTTCATAATGGTCTTTTCTTTTTTGTCTGCTCAAAACTAGGTTCCGGATTAACTTTTGCCTTTCAAGTTCGAACTCCCATGGCATCTTAGTTGTGTGTGTGTGAGAAATTCTCATTTTTTAATTTAGACTATTGCTTGTACTCAAAATAAAAAAAAATAAAAAAATAAGACTACATAAACAGGAAATTGAAAATGCTAGAGAGACCATATTATTGTACTGCTTCATATATTATACCACCTTCTCCAGTAATTGAAAACTTACAATTAATGCACAAACAAAAATTTAAATTTGCATATGTACGGAATCTTTTAAGTCTCAGCTTGCCTAGAATCTAACGGTATCAACTTTTACAATCCCCAAACCTACTTTAACATATCCAAGCAAAGTAATAACTTCCATCTAGCTAGGTCGTTTTTCACGATCAGTTATATTCTATACTAGTTTCTTATAATTTCCTTCTATACAGTGGCAATGTGATATTGGAGAAACATTGGCAACAAAATGTGTGCACAATATTCCCCTCAGGCCACAAAATCTGGCAACAATTGAGCAGCAAACCTTTTTCTGCTTCGCATGTCCATGTCCTCATAATCGATGCCGGAATGTGAAGGTTGTGGATGGTTGATTGCACAAAAATCATCTTCTCCTCCTGTGTTAAATCTCCTTCCCAGCTGATCATGAATATTAATCTGGCCATGGTTGGAGAGAAAGCTTTGTTGTGTTCCTGAGAGAGAGCTGTTTTCACGGTGAGGAAGGCCTAGAGTGAGGGATACACCATTTCCATGAAATCTTTGTGCCAAATGCTCCGGATTCATATCAAACCTTCCTATCTCTGGAATGGGGTATGTGCCAAAACCATTGGCATGATCTGTAGTGATTTCTCTATTTGTTTCGTTCGCCTTCATCTCGGCGTCCACGGAAAGAATGCTACTTGGAGAATTTTCTATTTCAGAACTCTTTCGTTTCTTGGGACTTCCTTGCATGTTGGACATTCCCACAAGGTTAAATCCTGATTGTGATTGAAGAGACCCTGCCATGGGAGACGCTGACAATGAAGAATTATTCGACTTCTCGTTTGGAGAAGGATGCTGGTTGCTAAAGTTTTCATGCGTCGACCGGAACATTTGATCATCAATTCTAGTGGAAGCACTCTCTCGTGGAGTAGTTGAACCTGACTCCTTGTAATTTGCATTGTTCCCGGAACCATTTTTCTCTTGTTCCTTTGTCTCCTCCACGTACATCTCTTCAACCATTGGCTTCCAAAGACGAACTCGGGCATTAATGAACCAGTTAGAGACCTGCTTTGTAACTTTAATCAGTCTATGGCCTTAAACGTTGCAAAACTTTAATGACAACCTAGTAAATACCTACCTGACTCCGAGTAAGCCCGGTCTGTTTTGCCAGCATTACTTTGTCTGAGTCCTTGGGATAGCTACAAACCCAAGTAGAAATTTGTTAGTTTGATACGTCCTATAAACTGTACTAGAATTTAATACTAGACCGCACTGGAAATTTTTTAGGGTTTTTAGCACGACCGAAGCGTCGAATTAATTCGAAAAAGTACTTACGGGTGAAGGAAGTGCTCGAAGAGCCAGGCTCGAAGAACGGAAACAGCTCGTTCAGGCAATCCTCGCTGGGGTCTCCAGGGATTATGCTGGACCATTCCCAACTGTTGCAATGCCCGCTGTTGCCTTACATGATTGTCTATGTACTTGAGTCTTGAACCCTCAATCTTGGCACCCAAGCATTCTTCCTCACCCAAGTTCTTGCTGCCGGCTTTGATTTGAGCTGATATTTCGTCTTTGAGGCACCGGAATTGCTTGGAGATTGTCTGCAGGGCAAGATGAGTGTATGATTTTGCTGAACCAAAACCCGCGGCTTGTTCGAATGAAGTGATCACAAACTGCATTTGTTGGTGGTACTGTCTGTATCTTTGCTCCACCTTCATAACAAAAGACAAATAAATAAATAAATAAATTAGCATATTTACAGAGCTGCATGACAGTTTTGGCCAATGGACTCACTGCAAACAAACCAAATGCACGAGAAGGTGACAAAGAAAATGACCCACTTTAGTTCATTTCTGTCGTACTAGTTTTTTATTACATACGTTTGTTTTATAGAAAATATATATATATATATATGTATATGTATGTATACATTAATTAATGAAGGGGTCAGCAGGAAAGTTTGGTAACTACATGAAACAGACACAATGGTCCCAGATCCCCACCCACTGCAATTAAGCCCCAACTTTCGTTTTCGTTTTCTCTTTTTCTTTTTCCTCCCCAATCAAACTTAAGAGAGTATTATAGCCCACCAAGTAGCTACTTTTCAATTCTCATTTACGTCATATTATCGTCACACACAATAATTTCTTCATCTTTCTCGAATCGACTTAATTAACATCTTAAACCTTTTCTTTTCTTAAACGTCGTGTAATAATCATAAGCTAAATACAAATTAGTAAATTAGATTCCCTTGACAAAGGTGGTTACATTTTCGTATTGGACCCACCAGCGGAACTAGAGCTATAATTATAGGCCTGACTTATGGCAATTCTGCCCAACTCTTGTCCAAGTGCCAGGTGTGTTTTTTTATTATTCAATCATTCACTAGAAGTGTGGTTGAATTACATATTTGGATAAATTGCATAAGACATCAAAAACAATCGTGCATAACAAATGAAACTTTACAGAATCAATATGACCAATGAAAACACAAAAATAGAAAAAAATTTAATAAAAGAATGAACATAGAATTTAATAGTACCTCATCAAGCATGCTGACAAGTTTTGCTTTCTTCATCTGGAGCTCCTGCCTCTGTGCTGTGTTAAGCTCAGCTCCTTGCTTAGCACCACCACTCGAACTAGCTCCAATCCCAGCCGTTGTTTCTCGACTCACTTTCATCTTATCTTTAATCCCACCGTCCAATTCGGCGGCGTTGCTTCCCTTTCCAACATGAACAACCTCATCCAGAAGCTCTTGTGCAGCCTTCAAGTACTTGGACCCCAAAAGCACACCTGAAAATCCATGTGATATAGCCGACACCGACGACAGAGAAGTCCCCTTGGCCGGGACGTCACGCTCGGCAGGAAATGATGATGGCCTGTAGTTACTATTATAACCTGGCTGCTGATGAGTTGAGAGGCTGAGAGACAAACCTTGTTGAGTAGTTGCACTTGTGGGGGACACCGCGGAGGCTCCGATGGGGGTTTGGCCACCCATTGGGCCCCACAAGTTGTAGTGAAGCCGAGATGGATCAGTTTGGTGATGCAAGGATGGAGGGCTGTGATCGTCTGAATTGTTTGATCCAACGGCGGCAGAGTGAAGCGGGATGCCGACTAAGTGGTGGGTTGTTGGAGGCGGAGTGTGATTGAAAAGAAGCATGCTAGGAGGTGTTGGGTTTTGCTGGGCACTGTCAGAGAAGGATGGCACGTAATTGGGGTTCATTAGATAAAGTGTCTGGAGAGCATGATCAGTTGGGGCTTGGATTTCAGAGCTTCCATGGTGAAAGAACGTTGCCATGGAGTAAGTATTTCAAGCTCTCCTTTGTACGGACATATATAATCTTACTAATTGATTTTGATCATCAAGACCTAATTAATATGCAAGATCCAGCCGGTAGCAATATTAATCGGTTAATCAGTGGTCCTTCGCAAATTGTTGAACAAGCAAGATCCTGGAGAAAAAAGCAACAAGAATCTGCAGATCTCAAACAAGCCAAGAAAACCCATGAATCAGAAACCTCAAATTATATCTGCCTAAAATAGTGAGAGTCGTTTTATTGAGACCCAGAAAACTTCTGAAGAAAAGGAGGGGTGAAGTTCACCACGAACTATATGTAAAATTTAGAGAGAGAGAGAGAGAGATGGCTTTCAAGGATTGCATAGCTAGACGATGATGAAAGTAGTAGCTAGTGACACAAAGCGCATCAAAGATCATAACAAATTTAAAGTAATATTATAAAAAAGACTGAAAATTTTGAAAAAATGGAAATTATATATATGGAACCCATCAAGGGCCTTTTGCAGAGAACAGGGAGTTCGAGTTTTGTACCATCCAATTATGGTTGAAAGTTGAAACACACACGAGTGGATGGACTGATGGATTTTCATCTGAGCAGTACATGTCAGTGGATCTAACAGTCTCCTATCATCATCGGAGCTATTTACATAACAAAATCTCTTTAGGCTTTCGTTTCGAGTTGCTAGCTCTTGTCAGACTCAAACCTCCATCTCCTGCAATTCTCTCTCTTGCTGAAAATGATAATAAATAAATAAAGACAGATGGGGCTTTCATAAAGCTTCACCACATAAGATACCCCTCATTTTCTTTTTCCTTTTTCTATATAATTTAATCATTATTCTCGCCCAAATAGAGTGCAGAAATAATGCATACAACTACATATTTAGGTTCATATTCTTTTTATGGAATTAAAATAAACAAGTTGAAAAACTTTCATTACATTCTCGTATTTATCTTTCATGCAGTGTATTTGGTTAGTTTCTTTTGTTTCATGGATAAAAACAAGAAAATTCCAGCACCAAGTCATTGATGCAGGCACGTTTGATGTGAAACTATGGAAAAAAATTTATTAAAAAAATGGATGATAAATAGTGAAAGATAGAGAGATGTGAAATTAAAAAAATGAAAGGAAAGTGGGGCAGGATATGAAAACAGCTGCAAGACGAGGAAACGTCTGCTTCCACCCCAAATGGCTAAATAATTGAGTACGATAGAAAGAGTGAGGTGCATGCTTGGGTTGGGAAGTCCCTTAGCTTTTGCCAACTTTAAAAATATCTCTTTGTCTCTCACTTACTTTTTAATTTTATATTATTTTCCTTTTGTAATTTTTGTGGTTGGAGATGCGAGAGTTGAAGATAATGCATCTGAAAAGTTTGAACACCAATGTAAATGCTTTTAACCAATAGGTTTAAGGACAAAGGAAAGGAACTTGTATATTGAGTGCAGCCAGTTAAAAGAGGTCTTAATTTACAAATTAGTGGTCTAGTTAGTAGTTGTGATAGTGAGGCAGATAGCCGTATATTTTTTGCGCAAACTTCATATGAAATTTAAAGTTTTATTCAAATTCTATGTTTTTCTCAACATATAATTTCTAAAGTTCTATCCAAATTGTAAACGGATTATAGTTCAAGTGGTTAAATACCATAAACTTATGCACCCAAAGTTCTGTGTTCAAATTCTCCCACTCCTAATATCACTTATATCCAATAAAAAAACAAAAAGTTATACCCAAATTCTATGTATTTATTTGGTTACGGATCTTGTATCGATATGAAAAAATATATGTATATATATATATATATATATATACAGAGAGCTTCCATTGAGGAATCTCTCAAATAAGTTTATTTGAGAGACACCCCTTGTAGGCCCCACTACGGATTGTATTTCACTAATCCAAACTGTCTATTTTATAGATACTCATTCAAAGATCATCTCTACAAAAAATCACTTGAATCCGATATCATTTGACCACTCAATTGAGTTATTGAAATTTAAGTACTTTATTGAAGCACAGTGTTCATTGATTTTGCAAAACACAATTAGATGTCGAAACGGTTTCTGATTTGTCTAATTTTTTGTAAGAATGATCTATGAATGAAGACCTAAAAAATATATTGTTTGGATAATTGGGAAAAAAATTGTAGGGTACCCTAAAGGGCGTCCCTCAAATAAAATTATTTGAGGGATCTCTCAATAGAAGGGGTATATATATATATATATATATATATATATATATATATGTTGAGTAACCTTCATGGAAAATGTGCACATAAAACAAAAAGGCTAAATGTATTAAGGTAACATAAATGACAACCACAAAAACAAAAACAAAAAACATATGAACAAGAATAAAAACATTAATAAAAAAAACATAAATGTCAAACACAAGGACAAACTCAAAATATTACGGGTTGGTCCCTTCTAGTGTAAATCACAACCTTTTGAATGTCGCAGAGTGAAGATTACTTTCTGGTTTGTGAAATAACGTTTTATTGGTACTATTCCATTACCTGTTGTTACTTTTCGAATAAAAATTATGTATAAAGTATTTTTTATCTTTTTGCTGCCATGAAAACTCTGATCCAATCCATTTAACTAAATAAAAAGAGCTTAATATATTTTGGGAGTATAACACTTGGGACATAGGTGTTATATTTTCGAAACCCTCAAAGTAGGTGTCTGGATTTTTGAGATGTGCCATATACACTGAAAAACTTCCTATTTGAGATTTTAAAGTTATCAATATATCTATTTCAACTTCGATGATTTAACATGTGTACATTTATTTCAAAACTTCTATTTAGATGGGTTTTTTTTTAATTCACTAGAGTTTGTGAGCACTAGGCCTGGGCTCGGGTTGAGTTGGTTCGGTTTTGGGCCCAATCCAAACACCAAACCTGAACCTTCAGTGTGCTCTTTTTCCAATCCGAACTCAAATCACGTAAGTGAAAAACATATCACTTCGTGTAACCGGACTTTATGGTTCGATTGGGTTTGGTTTGGGGTAAATGGGTAGTGTTGACTTCAAATTATGCCCATTTCTTTTTGCACAAAACATGATATTCAACTCAAACCTCAGCAACTAAAAATCATATTTAAGCACATTCCATCTATCTTATACATAGCAAAAAGCTAGGCATCCATTCATCCTCTTAAATATCCATCATCAAATCAAAGGTTCAATCCCATTACAAAGCAGCAATATCTTCATGCAATATTCATGCCATTAATATGGCCATTCATCTACTTTACATCAACTATGGCAATTACAAATTAAAGGCAAAAACATGAGAAGTCAACCCCAATTTAAATTACAAACCAGACAAATGGCAGTTTAATATGTTCCATTACATTACAAAAACAAAATATCACCAAAAAATGTAATGGAACATATTGATGGTCCTTCATCTTGACTGTTGTTGCTGCTGCTATAGGACTCAAGGTCTTCAATTTAAGGTAGAGACAAAATAATTGGTACATATGTTTTCTTTTCCAACCATTTGCAATGTTTCCATTTCTACCACATTGAAAACATAAATAAATATAAACAAAGTTAAAACAAAACCAAATACATGAAAAAACAAATAAAAGCAAGAAATCAGCCCTTACCTTTCTCCATTTTCTCCAAAGTAATATAAAATTCCAATTCATCTTCAGTCGGTTCTTTGTCGAAGTTAAAGCTAGCAGCCCTTAGCTAATCATTGGAGCAAATAAGGGTCTCCACTATTTTTGGAGTCAAAGAAGCCCGAAAAGGATCCACAACTCTTTTCCCAGCACTAAAAGCAGCCTTTGATGGAACACTTGACATAGGAAACCTTGGATGGTTTTCTTTCCACCAATCTAGCAAATTAAACCCAACATTTTTAGGATTCTCAAGAGGATCCAACAAATATTTATCAACTTCATTCTCAATTTGAACCACATGTTTCCCTTTTCTTGATCTCATAAATTTTTCAAGCCTTTCATCACTGTCAACAATACTTGTTTCCTCCGCACCTTCGACATTAGCCTCCACATAAGCTTGGGCAATAGCTAGATCTTCTTTCCTGTACGCCTCGTACAACTTCATTACAAGATCCTTCACCCCACTTATCATCGCATTAACTTTGGAAGCATCCTTTTCCAAATCACTAAAGCTAATGTGGACATAATCCACTTTGTAACGGGGATCAAGAACCACAGCCACTATTGGGAGCTGGTTCACATCTCCAATATTACCCCAATACTTGTCATACATGGATTTCATTGAAGTGGCCACCTTTTTCATAAAAGGATTCTCACTTGCCATCATTTTCGTCAAGAGATCAACAATAGAGCACATCTCATGGAAGGCTACATGGGAAGTTACCGTTTTATAAGCCCTAAGCTTCAAGGTAGCCTCATAAAATCTTTTCAAGAACTTCACAAAAACCTTTGCATATTCCCAATCCACTACACTTGGGGGACTCAATTTTTTTCTTAAACTCCCTTGCATTTTTTTTTTTTTTTTTTTTTTTTTTTTTTTTTTTTTCATCCTCACGGCGTCCAAGGATTTCCTCAAAGTAAGATGCAAAGTTTGAGTCCTCCTCTTCCAACCTCTCAAAACCTTTTTGCAATTTTAAGGCGACCTCTAGCATCTCATAGGTTGAATTCCACCTTGTTTTACACTCCAAGGGCAATAAACCTTTGTTATCAATCTTTTGCAACATCAAACATTGCCTAAATTTGTCCAATTGAGATGGTGAGGATCTTGTATACATACAAGCTTTCCGAATACTCTTGATTGAATCATTCAACTCACACAACCCATCAAACACAATCAAATTAGTGATGCGAGCACAACACCTCAAATGTAAAAAATCCCCATTCAACAAAAGAGTGCCACATTGGCCCAATTGCCTCTTCATATGCCTAATAGCACCATCATTAGCAGTTGCATTGTCAAGTGTGATAGTGAATAATTTTTCTATGCCTCAATCACTTAAACACTTTTCTACAAGTCTCCCAATGGCATCACCCTTATGATTTGTAATTTGACAAAAGTTTAGGATCCTTTTGTGCAAATTCCAACCATCATCAATAAAACGGGTTGCGAGAGCCATATAATTCACATTTTATAGTGAAGTCCAAGTGTCCGTGGTAAGAGAAACTCTTTGTGAATTTTGAGATATGACACTCTTGAGTTTTGCCTTTTCCTCTTGAAAGAGATAGCAAACATCTCTAGCAATGTCCTATGAGAAGGTGGATCAAATCTAGGTTGTAACTCTTTCACAAAAAAAGTTAACCAATCCCTTCCACATGCCTAAAAGGAAGCTCATCAATTATTATCATCTTCACACAAGCAAGTCTACTTCTCTCTCTGCTATGTGTATGTGAAACTAAGCCTCCCATATCAAATGAAAGAACCTTTTGTTTGTTGTCCTCTTTCAATGGAGAACCCCTCGTGCATTGAACTTTCAAATGTTGCAATAATGTAGATGTTCCATTTCTTACCGGATCACATGCATAAGATTGATGGCAATAATTGCAAGAAACTCTAGGTCTTATATCAGTCCTCGATTCAACCGTGTCTTTAGTAAAATGCTTCTAAACCTCCGATGTTTTCCTAATAGGTACTCTCTTCTTAGGAATTGGGGGACGTGTAGATGTTCCCCCTTGAACTAATGGCTCAGTGGGAGTAGTGGTAGGTATAGGACTAGGACTTTCATTTGGGTTGGTGAGAGATGTGTTAATGGTAGGAGTTTGAGGACTTCCTTCCATACTTTGTATTTTCAAGCCTATAGACAAATTTACACAATGAAAAGATTCATAAACACAAGTTAAATACATACACAAATTTTCACTTTTTCCTATAGACATTGAAAATGAAGTAAATAACAGAGAAAGTAGTAGAGAAAGCAAGAGGAAAATAATATCAAACTTGTGATAACTCATATTACAAGTTTATATTAAACATTATAAACAGATAAATAAACTGTGTTATTACTCAGATTTGTACATTGATTACATATGCACAAGAAGTTGTGATGGTTTTCAAACATATATTTGTTATTTCTAACTTGTTAATAGTAATCTTGAAGTAACTTAAGAGGATTTGTATTATGAATCCACAAAAACATATCTATAGCTTGATCTTGTGCAGATGCAGCATGAAGCTATTTGTTTATATAACTCACATTATTTAACATTTATTTTTTCTTTTTCTAAAGGGTGTGTCAATAGCAAAAGAGGTTTACGAAGTTCTAAGCCACCGTGGGTGGCTAGAGTTTTCCCACAGTTTGAAACAGTTCATGAGATTTGCATTGGCTCCCTTCCTCCATTAGCCATATTTGAGCACTTTGAGCGCAAACCTAAACTCTAGTTGGCTTTCTATGATAAATGGAAGTTTATTCAATTAAGCTCATTTGCACTTAGATGGGAGCCAATGCAGACAAATTTACACAATGCAAACTCTAGCTGGCTCTCTTTGATAAATGGAAGTTTATTCAATTAAGCTCGTTTGCACTTAGAAGGGAGCCAATGCATACAAATTTACACAATTAGTTGGCTCTCTCTTATAAACAAATTTACACAAATTTACACAATGAAAAGATTCATAAACACAAGATAAATACATACATAGATATTCACTTTTTCCTACAGACATTGAATACAAAGAAAATAACAGAGAGAATAGTAGAGAAAGCATGAAGAAAAAAAAATCACACTTTGGAGCACGTTTACAGTAACCCAAATTTTACTCATCAATCAATATCAACTAAAAAGGTGAAGTAATCATTCAATATCAATATCAACTTTGGTACACACTAATTAATATAATATGTATTTAGCCCATGATGCTTTATGAAGGGAAAACTAAAGTTCTCCAAAAAAAAACGTATTGGTCTTTAAGACTTACTTTTTCTTACTTTCTCCTACAATATTTTAGCAAATAAGAGAAATCCAAGTATGACAAGTGAAGATCCTTACAGTCTTCCTAATACACGCACACAAATATGCAAAGAAGATTGTAAATAAAGAAATTTCCTTTTTTGAGCAAATTGTAGTTGGTGTTAGTGAGTGAGATCCAGTCTAATGTTGGTGAGACAGCCAGATTCAATGAGAGATGAGAGATGAGATCAAAATCAAAGGGTTTTAAAAATAGAGAGATGGCGACGGAGAGTTGGCAATGAGACGAGAGCTGTGACAGAGACATGGCGGTGACGGAGAAGAAAGCTTGCATAAGCTAGGGTGTTTGTTTAGTTGGGAAGTATCCATTGGTGGAGGGAGGGTGTATGGGAAATATAATAACCCCCCAACGAATGACTTACATGTGTATATTAAATTATAATTAAAATAATTGGGTCGGGTTGGGTAAACCATGGGTTTAGTATATGGGCCCCGGTTCAAGTCCACAAGCTGAATGTCAAATTTAGACATTTAGCAGTCTTCGGTGTTTTTATTTATACTTTTGATATTAGTTTTCTCACGTGCGTTTTTGTTCTTTATACATGCATTTGTTCATCAACCAATTTTTTACTACCAATTAATGAATGACATATTCTTAAAGATTGTACATGTATATTGATGCAGCGAGATAAGGGATAGGGAGATGGAACGATAACCCTACAAGTAACAATGTCGAAATCCACCAACAAACTAGAATCCACTAGAGAAATTGAGTAAACCTCAAATATATTGGTTGAAAATAAGATGAATGATCCAGGATGCTTCAATGCATTCCTTTTATACAAGAGAAAGCCTAGACTTGCTTGGAAAGTTAATGAGAAACCCTAAACTTGCTATGAAAGCTAATTAGAAAACAAGAAGGAAAATAATAAAAGTTTCCCTAAATATTCTAAAAACTTTAAACGCTAAAAAGTCAAAGTAAACAATAAAATTTGGTTAAAATAGCTCATACATCACAGCAAAGCAATGCACTGCACTTGTCACACCGTTCTCTTCAAAACGATAGGTCATGGGTCCGATTCTAAGCTCATGGCCCATACTTGCACATATTGGGCTTTCCTGTTGCGATTATGTGCGCTCTTGTCCATCTGTTCCTCAATCAACTCAGCCATATGTTCTACATCAGTCCCTTCCACTTCGGAAGAACTCAACCCCGAGTTTTCTTTAGGATAGAGCAGATCATCTTCATTGAATGTATACAGGTCAGCAACATTGATATTGCTTGATATCTCCATAGATAGGGGCAAGTCCACAACATAAGCATTGTCGTTGATCTTCTTTAGAATCTTGTAGGGACCATATTTGTGGGACTGTAACTTGCGATAAGTACCTACTGGAAACCTCTCCTTCTTCATATAGACCATGACGGAGTTGCCTTCATTGAACACCTTGACTTGCCTATGTTTGTCTGTGGCGGCTTTGTATTTAGCATTGGTTTTCTCTAACATCTCCTTCACCTCATTCTTCACTGCCTAGACATTTTCTGCCATATTCTCAATTGTGATACTTACACCATGGTTCTTAGGTAGCTTCACTAAATCAATCACATGGTTAGGAACCGAAGTGAAAACCAAAGCGAAAGGTGATTTTCCTGTGGCACTATGAACAACATTGTTATAAGCAAACTCCACTTGAGGTAGTGCGTTATCCCACTATTTGGGTTTATCTCCATAGATTCTACATATCATGTTACCCAAAGTTCTTTGTCCATCAATTTGGGGTGCGATTAAAGGAGGTTCCAAAATCTTCTATAAAATAACTCAGAAGTGACTGAGGAACTTAGTGTCACGATTAGAGATGATGGATTTGGGTACTCAATGCAAATGAACAACCTCCTTGAAAAATAATTTGGCTATGTTAGTAGCATCATCGTCTTCTTGCAGCAATGAAGCGCGCCATCTTGGAGAACCTGGAACAACAACAAAAACAGAATTTACTTCCCTTTGTGTACGAGGGAGTCCCAACACGAAGTCCATGAAAAGGTCCTGCCAAATATCATTAGGCATAGGCAATGGCATGTAAAGACCAATGTTTTGAGACTAATCTTTAGAAACTTGACAAGTGTAGCACTTTTGCACGATTTTTCTCATGTCCTTTTTCAATTGTGGCCAATAATATCGCTTCTCCATGCAAGCAATTGTTGTCTCTTCCCAAATGTCCACTTAGGGTGCCTCCATATAAATCTCGAATTAGCTTCTCCCTTAAGGATGTCTCAGGAATACAGAATTTGTTGCCCTTAAATAAATAATCATCAATGAGGTGAAAATTTGTAGCAATTTGGTTGAAAACACACTTGAACCAAATCTCCTTAAAGTCTTTGATGAGTCGATTTTATATTATATATTTAACCCCATTTTTAGTATATTTTGGTTAATATTTTGGAAGAATTTTGATACTTTGAATTATATTTCCAATATAGGACTTTCGACTCCCTCTGGAGCAAAACATAATCAAATGGACGAATTTTGGAGTAATTCCAGTTGGAGGATATTCGTGAGTCACTTGGCTTGATTGTATCAAAATTTAAGACTTTTCTACCAAGCGGTTATTTTCTGGCGATAAAATAAAGGAGCAGTGCACTGTGCTGGAATAGTGACATTTTGGGATTTTATTGCGTTTTTGGAGCCCAAGATGACCTCGGATGGGTTCATGGCCTTCTGGAGAAGTGTTCGGAATATTTTTATCTTTAAAACGAGCTATCTTGGGCCAGATTTGGAGGAGATTTGAGGCCAAAACGTGGCTGGGCAGATTGTGGGCAGATTCTCCTAATCCAATTTGGATTTTATATCATAGTATTATCTTATTTTAACCTAGTTTCCTTGTGGGGATTGGGCAGCTAGGTTTTAGGAGGTATTTAAGTTATTTTTCACAGCAATTTAGAGGACTCCCTTTTTACTTCTTTTTGGTTTTTGGAGCAATTGCTAGGGTTTTGGATTTTCGCGACTTTCAGGTGTTTTCATTCTTATTCTTCTTAATGATATTTTCTTGGATTTCAATTGTGAACATGCGTAACTAACTCTCTTTTGCTAGGGTGAGGCCACGAGCCTTAGCAAGAATATGTAGTTTCTGTCCAATTTGCTTATGATTATATGCATGCAGGTTTTCGAATTATTCATCACTGGGTTAAACTATCTAAGTGTCTTGATGCTTGATCACCATTAGGATGTTTAGAAAAGTAATTTGATGCAGTTTTGGTCGGAGGTCGGTCCCTGAAATTGACGAAGGCTTCTTGTGATTAATATGTGCAAGTTCACTTAGGATGAATACCACGTCTTAAGGGTTGCATGGTTTTTCAAAAGGTTTCACAGAACTTAATGAGTCATGTATGTTTAGATTTGATCTGAATACCACAGACGGATTGCATGTGTGATATACGCTCTATGTTGGGGGTCCAAGTAGGCATATATTAGGAATACCTAACCTTCGAAATATGCATGTATAGGTCATAAGTAATTGGGGGAACTATATAGAATTGTTAAGGTGACGGCGGATCCCTAGTGCTTTCTTAATTTGATTTCTAAAAACACAACTGTTTCTCTTGCTCTTAGCTTTAATTTTGCATATTGCCTTATTTTTATTAGTTAAATTCCTTTTAATTTAAGGTCTTCAAATCAAACATCTCAACTTTCTCTTTTGCAATAATTAATTAGAATTTGGTTGCTACGAGTTATTTAATAATCCCTGCGGAGAACGACCTTGCGAGAATCATTTATACTACAATAACCTTGTCATTCTTGCAAGTTTTGTAGGAGTTTTAACCCTGTTTGCGCAGGTACTAAAAAGCCTATCAGTCTTCATCAACTTCATACAGCTCCTTCAAGAACTCAAATCCCACAACCTCTTGAGCTATAGTAACTAGCATGTTTTCTCTTCAACTTAAAGCATCCGCCACAGGATTAAAGGTACCTGATATATGTTTAATAACAAAAGGGAATTTTTGTAGGAAGGTACTCCACCTTATATGCATCTTGCTCATGGATTTCTGACTGTTAAGAAACTTCAAGGACTGGTGATATGTACATAGTACAAATTCACGTTGCACCAAGTAGTGCTCTCATTGTTTCAAAACACAAACCATTGTATAAAATTCCTACTCGTAAGTACTCCATTTTTAGCGAGCTTTACTAAGTTTTTCATTGAAAAAGGCCATTGGTTTCTTCCCTTGAGACAAAACTGCACCTACTTCCACCCCACTTGCATCACATTCGACCTCAAATATCTTCTCAAAGGTAGGAAGGGCTAGGACCAGGGCTGTGCATAGCTTGTGCTTAATAATGGAGAAATTCTTCTCTTACTCATCACCCTACTGAAACTTTCCCTACTTCAAACACTTAATGATAGATGCAGTAATGGTGGTAAAATCACGAACAAGCCTTCGATAAAAAGTAGCCAACCCATGAAAGCTTCGTAACTCACTTACTGTTTTCGGGGTATGCCAGTCATTAATAGCTCACACCTTCTTGACATCCACCTTAATGTCATCCTCACCAACAACATAACCCAGAAAGAGTAATTTATTGGTGCAAAAATTACACTTTTTTAGTTGATGAAAAGTTGGTTTTCCTCCAAAACTCGAAGAATCTATTTCAAATGCTCCAAATGTTCTTCCTTGGTTCGATTGTAAATCAAAATATCAACAAAATACACCATAACGAAAGAACCAATAAAAGGACAAAGAACCTGGTTCATAAGGTGCATAAAAGTGCTTGGTGCATTTGATAAGCCAAAAGGCATCACCATCTACTCGTACAAGCCATCCTTGCTTTTGAACAAAATTTTCCACTCATCACCTGGCTTGATGCAAATCTTATGGTAACCACTTCAAAGGTCTATCTTTGAAAACACCTTAGAACCCCCCCTCCCCCCCAACACATCTAGTATGTCATCCAACCGTGGTATTGGAAATCTGTATTTAATAGTAATTTTGTTCATCGCCCTACTATCAACACACATACGCCATGTTTTTTCTTTCTTGGGCACCAGCAATAGTGGGACTACACAAGGACTCATGCCATCACGAATAAACCCTTTTTTGCAGCAACTCCTTTATCTTCTCTCGTAGAATGTCATTCTCCTTGGGACTCATGCGGTAATGTGGCAGTTTGGGGAGACTTGTTTCAAGCACCAAATCAATCTAATGTTGGATATCTCTCATGGGAGGTAGCTGGTTGGGTTGGTCATTAGCAATCAACTCATTAAACCCTTGCAAAATTTTCTGCACTTCTTTTTGGAATAAGGTGATTCATGCTTCTCTATTGACAACTTTAAATAATCCATGAATTTTTTGAATATAAGATTCTCACAACTACCACCATCGATAATTAAACTACACACCTTGTTGTTGACGATACAAAGAGATCAAAAGATCTTATGTCATTGTCCTTCCTCTTGTCTTGGTGCGAGTAACACCCGCTCCAAACCTAGGTTTATTAATTCGCTTCCTCATAAGCGAAATCAGCTCCTTCATAATCTTCATCAGCACCATGATCCTTATTGTCATCCTCATTCGCTTAAGCCAAGTTAACTTGCCGACGATTTGGAAAATCGTTGGATTTGTGGCCTGGTTTGTCGCAACGATAACAGTGATCTCCATAAGGTTTTGCATAAGGATTCGGTCTCTGGAAACAACCCTTATCCCCAGTGCAGCTACTACGTTCTGCTGCTCCCTTTGTGCCCTACCATTTGTTAGTATTATTATTCTCATGAACCTATGCAACTTCTTTACCTTTGTCTTTTGCACGAACAGGTGAATCGGTAGATTTCTTCTTAAAATTGCCTAAACCCTAGAGAACCTCTCCACTTCAACAAGCTAATCCAATAAATCTTCAACTTGTAAGTGCCCATTGAAATATGGAATTTCATTCTTCATGCGATAGCCTTCTTGGCGTTGGTTACTGGGTTGGGCATGATCGTCATGAATTGCTTCCTCGGACTCCGCATTGCTATCTTCCTGACAAGGGCGCCGTGGGGGACGTCGTTCATTACGCCCGTCTTCTCCTCTGTCTTCGTCTGGCTGTGCTTGGTTTCCCAAGGTCAGGATCATCTGATGTAGACCCTCGATTGTTGTATTGAATTCATCACAAGTGATTGGTTCCCCATCTCCGCAAGTCCTATCTTCTCAGTCTAGATGAGCCATTGGAGGCACTTCGAGTCAGACAAAAACCTAGCTCTGATACCAACTAACGCAACAAGATATAAAGGATTGGGAGATCGAATGATAACCCTACAAGTACCAATGTCGGAATCCACCAACAAACTGAAATCCACTAGATAAATTGAGTAAACTTCAAATATATTGATTGAAAATAAGATGAATGATCCAGGATGCTCCAACGCATTCATTTTATACAAGAGAAACTCAAGACTTGCTTGGAAAGCTAGTGAGAAACCCTAGACTTGCTAGAAAGCTAATTAGAAAACAAAAAGGAAAATAATATAAGTTTCTCAAAATATTCTAAAAACTTTAAACATTGAAAAGTCAAAGTAAACGATAGAATTTGGCTAAAATCGCCCATCTATCACAGCAAAGCAATGTGTTGCACTTGTCATGCCGTTCTCTTCGAAACGAAATGTCATGGGCCCAATTCTAAGCTCGTGGCCCATACTTGCACAAATTGGACTTTGCTATCGCAACGACATGCGTGTCTGTCTAGCTATTCCTCCATCAACTCAGTCATATGTTCTACATCATATATTTCTTTGTAAGGATGGAACATAAATTTTTATAAGGTGGGATGTTATTAGATAAATGACACATACTAATTAAAACAATAGAGTGAGGTGTGGGGGTTACTAGATATGAGGTCATTATTCTAACTGATTTATATCACAAACAAGCAAGCTTATGCAAAGACATTTAAGCTTTAGAGCTATACATCAAATTCAAATTTGATGATAACAATTTGACATTTTGTTAAACTTTCTATTCCCGATGTGTCATATTTACTCTCTTTTTTTCTTTTTCTTTTTTTAAAAAATATGTTTTTCATTTTCTCCTATCTTTGTTATAAAATGCTGCCGAAACAGATTTTTGAGTTCCACGGGGAATTACTATGACATTTTAACATAAAACAATTTTAAATACTAAAACATTTTAACATTTTTGTCTTCCGAAGGCTGGCTCCTCTTCAGACACTTGCATACAATGCCAACCGGCCATCCGAACCTAAGACCACTAAAATCTAAATGCAGTGCCTTTTTACTGTAAGAAAGAGGATCTTCTACTTGTGTTTATGGAACTCAAAATTGTGTAGTAGTTTTCAGCACAATATATTTATACTGTCATCTATTACTCAGAACCATTTTCCTCAGAGTGGATAACTTTCAATTCATCATATATAAAACCAACTAGTGCACAAGCAAGTTAAACGAAACCCACTAGTCTGTAATCAGCATTTACCATGTACATTTCCACCATCTGAGCCAAGGCCTTGGGATGATGCATTGCCAGCTGGGTTCATCGTGGTTTCATTAGATGCAAGGCGAAGAAACCTTGCTTTAACACCTCTTACTAATGAAATACGGCCGATGAACACCATTAAGGATCGTCCAGCACTTGGAATTTCAGCCCGGGGAAAACTGAAGCTTCTGTAGCAATCCCCTTCTAAAAGTTGTAGCTATCATGCTCTCACTGATTCATAAATCTCAATATACTTTCCAGCTGTGTTGTTCCAGCTATTGTCAACTGCCATAACCTTCTTAACAATGCCATTCCATTCATCTGGTTCTGCACCAGTAATTAACAGTATACTATAAAAATTAAAAAAGATAAATTAAAAAAATAAAAAAAAACAAAGACAATGACTGACACTTTGATCAAATTGCAACCATCTAAAACAACGTTTGAACTGCTTTGGGCTGCAGTAGGCTGAGTTTTTAAATATAGCTTCAAAAAACAAAAGACAATAGCTTCAAATATAGCTTCAGAACAGTTTCTGTATTGTTCAATAGTTTAAAAAATTTCTGTTCTGAAACTCAAACCAGATTTTCCATACACAAAAAAACCCATTTCTGTTTTTAAGTTATTTCTCCAGAAACTTTTGTGAAAAACCAGTTGTGGAAACTGATTTGGCTGCATATTTTCAAACTATTATCTGTTTTCATGATTTTAATGCCAGAAAACTGTTCTGAATCAGGGAACAAACCGGCCCTGCCTTCATTGTTTCTTTTATTATAACTTCGAAAAGCATTATTTCTAGGCAAAAAGTTACTTTTGGTCCCTGTAGTTTACCACTTTTACCACTTTGGTCCTTGTCGTTTCGGCACCAAAATTTGAAATTCAACAACTTTTTCCATATGAAAGACATTTAATAATGATACAAGCAGAGGTTCTAAAATAATAACAATAATAATAATAATAATAATGATGCAAGCAGAACTTACTGTTTCTGTAGCAAGCGAATGCACGACCTAGAGCCCTATTTAGGGATCCTTCATCAATTCCTTCAAAAACAAACCTAACAAAAACAAATTTGCAGCATTCATAGGTACACTTCTACGATAATACTTAGAACACACAGCCAGGGCATATGCAACACACTATCACCCTAGTAATGTGAACTAGCACCTCAAAGCATGTACTTTTCAATCATCTGGTGAGGAGTACCAAAAAAAAAAAAAAAAATCTCTTCTTAGAAATAAATAAATGGGCAATGCTTTGAACGAAATATGACAGAAAAAAGTCAGCTAAGTAGGTTAAAAGAGCTTGTCTCCGCACTCCTCTTAATTGTAAATTAGTACTTTCACTTAAAACTAAATTGTGTCTGTGTGAAAGAGAAAGAGAAGGAGAGAGAATTCCTAATCTAATCTAAACATTGAGGATGAGTGAAAGGTGAACACAAGTTCAGTGACTTAATAATCAAGAAATAATCACTCTAAAGTGCAGAATAAACACTTCTAAGAAATTAGTATAAACAAGTTCATTTGGTCTGAGGCAAATCAAAGAAACATGGTTAGCCTAAGCTCTGGAGAGTAACCAAAGACCTGCCAAACCTTGTTCCTTGATCTGTTTTCTTTAATAATTAAGGCTTAAGTCAACCCTGGTACACGGAAGGTGTACCCTAATCTATGATGATAAATCTGTGTTATTATCCTTGACTTGATCTTTCAGACCAAAAAAAAATCCTTGACTTGATCCATCAGTAAAAATCTCCACCAACTTAAACACAGCATATTCATGACAGCACAGTGGGAGATTAAAACAAACTAAGAAGGAATTTCATATTCTTCCTCATGAACTGCTTGTGCCATAATTTTTTGCTTCCAGCCCACTTGTAACTTTAGGCCCTTCGATGAAAATTTGAATAATCTTTAGCAATAATTTAGTATGATTTAAGATTGGAAACACATTCCAGTCCTGTGTCTTGTCTAGTTTCTTACTCGGTTCTCATGCTCTCTACATTTTCATCAAGTTTGAGTTTACAATGCCTTTCTTGTTACAATACAGATTAGTAAATATTTGGTTAGTGCATCACTGCAGCTTGACTTTATTTCTACAGTCGTTAATTTGTTTTCCTACACACCATAAAGAATTTGAGTTTATAGACACCATCACCGCCACACCTGACCAAAGTAGTTATTTCCTAGTATTTATAGCTGAGAAAAATGCCTCTGGTTAATAGTAAATAGGCATTTTCCTAGCTTCTTGAGCAAATTGGTGCAGTGGATTCAAGTTGTGAGCCAATCCGTTAAAGCTTAATTTAATATTCAGAAATTGCAAAGGAAGTTACCCATTGGCCATCTCATGGTTTGGCTCATCATCCATGTCAAAGACTGTGTCTGCAAGACCGCCAGTCTTTCTAACTACTGGGACCTGAAACAATTGATTCAACCCAAGTGAGACATTTAAATAACTTTGGTTTTCTCTACTAACTCATTTTGTGTATCTACTATTTACTGCAGTGTGAATAAAAATATCTTATATATAATGCTATACAAGCAAAAAGCCAGAGATAGACAAGACGTTGTAGCTAGTGAGACATAGTTTCCCAGCTCTAGAATGCTTCAGAAGAGTTGTTAGTACATAGCCATCACTAAAGAAAAAAATCAAATGGTAGGATTTAATTGTCCAATAGAAGTACATACTGCCCCATAACGCATTCCAATCATTTGGGCAAGTCCACATGGCTCATACATGGAAGGAACTAGTATAAAGTCTGCAGCAGCATACAGCAAGTGGGATAGCTCCTCACTGCATTGCAAAGCAAAACAGAAACACCACTTATTTAGTAAGCAGAAACATCAGCCGTAAGCTTTCTTGGACAATAAACAGAAATTTATATAGAAAGGACAGGCACTTCATCTATTGTATGGAATAAATTTATATCTTCCCACGACAATAAGTTCCAACACTGAATAAGAAAATATGAATATAGTATTTAAACAGATCTGTAAGTACAATTAAATGTAAATTATGAATTGGATGGTGTTTCAAGATTGATTACCTATACATCAACAATATCCGAATGCTGGGACCTTGGTTATGCTACAAAAAGGGTACAAAGTATGAATGTCTGTCAGCTTTCTTTGACTCAAAAGGTAGGGTACAGAAAACAAGAAAAATATTTAAAATCACAGATCTTCCACAAAACTCAATATCTCATGGAATATTGAATATCCTGTTGCTCTTGTCAAGGATACTTCTGACATCTTCTCTGTATTATTCCAATTTTAGCGACTTAAAAAAATGATAAGTTTTCGATGATTATTAATTACAAACAAAATCACAAATTTCAAATCCTCATATATGGGACACTATCCAAAGTGAGAAGAATGACAACTAGGAAAAACAGAAGAAGAAGAAAATTGCATCTAGATTGTTTGGTGTAAGAAATACATTTATTAGACAGTTATCTTTCTATTCTAAAATAGTCATTCATTTCCAAATATCTGGTAGACTTGTTTCAATTAACAAGGCAAGGACTGACTCTGAAAAATTGAGTAGTATCATATTGCTATTGGACAGACAAAGATAGCATTAGATAATTGGGAACCTAGAAGAGCAGACAGCATAGAGCATACAAATTTCCTTGCTAAGCTTTGAAATCTGACAGCCTGATGCATATCCCAGATGAAGGGCAAGGGTGATTTGGCTTTTAAAAAAACAGTGTTCTTTAAAGCTACTATTGGGTATACACTCCAAATATAGTTTACACTCTTCGAGTTATTTGAATGGTCATTAACCAAAGACTTACAAGCCAAATCATGGTTAAACAAAGAGAGAACCAACAAGGGAAATGTGAAACAAGAAAAAACAGAGTAATTCAGAAATTATTGTGTCTTGAATCCAAGTATAAATCCTAGTATAACTTGAGAGACATAAACGTCAAATCCATTACCAAATTCACAAGACCTTCAAATTCACTTTCAACCCGAGAATCAGGAGCTTTTCCCAGTATAACCATCTGTCCACCCTGAAATTGACTCCAGCATTTGGAGCAAAGAGAAAATAATCAGAAACACATTCTCTATTCTTAATTGAGATTGCAGTCAGGAAGATCTAAAGCACAAATGTGAAGAAAAAAAAATACAGGCAAAGAATTGCCAAAATTTTCATAACAAATTAAATAATCTCTCCAAACAATGTCTTTCTGTCGGGTCTGTTGGACATCTTGTTTCTAAAACCAATCTTGTGCCAGCTTACATAACACTGCTAGTTTTCTTAAGGGCCCAGTCTCATATAACTGTCAAACTGTCTGACAACACATACAGGAAAACTTAAGTATACACACATGCTTATGCAAGTGTGCATGCACCAACGCATCCATGCCCACCCATCTATCTACACACCCAAGGCACAACTTAGGAGCACAAAAGAATGTAATGCACTAACAAACTTACAAGTTCTTCAACTTGCTTAATTGCATGAATAATCAAATGAAGACCCTTTTGTGCAACTAAGCGAGTGATGCACACAACCAAGGGCACCTTGAGTGCAGTATCTGGCACATGGTTTCTCGAGGCCAAACCAAGTCCTCTTTGGACATAGTATTTGCATAACTTTTTGCCCTCAGAGTTTTGAGCTGCAAGTGACAGAACAAAGGATAATGAGAATAAAAATTACTGTGCATTGGGTTAAATTCTTAGTAACAGAGTTTCCAGCATTGCATGGACCCTTCACCCCAGTGTATCCTGGTCAACCCGACATGCATTAAGGATAAGACTAACAGACACTCCAAAGAAGTGTAAACTTTCAAAAACAACAAACCGGAAACTTGTACTTATACCATCCAACACGCCTCCACAGATGTACTACCCCTGCCACTCCTAAGCTAAGGAGTCTTTGTTTGTTAATCTTTTCTGGGACTGAAAATAAATCCTAATAATTTATTCATTTTTTAATGGATTCTGTAATTAAAATGCCAGAAAAGAATTACAGCCACTGGCATAGAAGTTCTTGCATGCACAGAGATATATGCTGCTGGTGGATGTCATGATCATTAACTCAACTGAAAATTGTAGATAGGAATAGTGTTTGATGTCAGGGATAGGATCCCACTGATCTCTCTCTCTCCTCTCTCTCTCTCTCTCTCTCTGCTTCTTTTAGAGGAAGTAGATATCAAGCGTGCAGAACCACAAGTTGGATCACTCAAACTTATATCTCAACAAATTCAAATACTGGTCCATCTAATACCTTGCACTTCTGCAGGTAAACTGCAGCTCCCTCTCTAGAGTTTATCAGATGAAGATGTAGCACATAGGAAAAAAAGAAGAGAACAAAAAACAATAAAAATTCAGGATAACTCTAACTTTAGTCTTCTAATCTAAAATTGATAGGCAAAACTAGGGTTCAGTTACAAGGATGGCCTATTAATAAATGTAATCTAAAAGGAAATCAAGGAAAAGAAAACATTAAAATAGTTAAACACTGCTAAAACAAAGTAGAAACTAAATTAATGTAGTATAATATTCTATTTTATAAGAAACAAATACTGTAATGAAAACTACACGAGATTATTTCTTAGCCTATGCAAATAGGTACAGAGGCCACCAAGATCCCCATTAATTACAATCTCGAGGGAGGAAGAGCAAAATAGAAAAGAATATAATATTCTATATCTAAAACATTTATTACGTGAGTTACACAGATGAACATACAAACAGGCGCATGCTCGCTCACTCACACACGCACGACACGGAGAAATAACATTTTCCATCCTCATCTAGCAATCTTATGACATTTACTGATCTAGCTTTATTTCCAAAACTACTTCAACAAAATGATAGATAAGAAAAGCTTCAAAAATATATATATATATATATATATATATTTGAAAAGGAAAAGCTTCAAATATATATATGATCAAATTGCAAATTTAATACGAACTTACTTATAAGTTCTTACCATGGAACTTTGAAGGCAAGAAAACATCAATAGAAGGGTTCCACATCACAGTGTCTATTCCATTTACTATACCTACGTACCTACAGAATTACATGAAATTTAAAAATCAACAGATGCAAAGACAATAAGAGGTTTTATATTCTTAATCAGAGAGGAGAAATAGAAATAAAGCTGAATTTAAAGACAAGTGATATGCAAAAAGCATAATGTTATTGCAGTTTTTCAAGGAAGGCATGAAAAGAGATCACTAAGTGCAACTATCTAATTGCCGGATCTTGTACTGCAACAGTAGTTCAACATGTCTGATTCAATTCCTTACAAAGAAATAATGTCAGATTCAACCACAGAGCAATCTATAGGAAACCTCAATTTTAATAAAAATGCAAAACCATTTGTGTTTATTATCACAGTTAAGGAACTTACTTATCACGTTGTCTTATCAAAGTATTTGAAAGCCATCCAGAGCAGAGTGTTTCCTTGAGATATGTTGGAGAAACAGTACTGAAAGTGAAAGAAGAATCACTTGTTGACATAATAGATACAAGGGGAGCTTGTCTGTGCCGATGTGGGTGGGTGTGTGCTCATGCCTGCACAGGCACAATGGAAAATATATGATGACACTGAAGGAAGTTAAAGAAACTTTGTGTGGACTTAATATGGAATTTAATCAAGTTCTTGGTAGAGGCCCTTTTGCTACTTTAAGGCAGGTATATGTATCTGTCAGTGAGAAAGGAGTAGAAAGACCTTGATGCTTTACTCTATCCCACAGGACAAGTATAGTCTAACTGTTGCACCACTTTTCAGAGATGCATGAGGGGAAGCTCAATTTGATAATACAGATTAACTCTGAATGTGACTGATGTGGGGAAGCCTGGGCACAACCATGACTTTGTTACTGGTACTGGCACCCTCTCAAAGGAAGAGATGCAGTCTCAAATGGATGATTTTTGTTTTTGTAATAAGAAACAAAACTTTCCATTAAATACAAAATAAGTACGAAGATAGTTAACTAGTCCACTTCTAAAAAAGCTTAACATGAAACCCGCAACATCAACTCTATCCTAAGAGAGACCTAGTAACACAATACCAGAGTTACCAAAAACAGCTGCTTTCCAAAATGATAGAACAGAGAAAGACAGCTCTTTCAACTCTGAAGCTACAGATGCCCACAAAGAAACCCAAAAGTGAACCCTATCCCATATGCACTTCACCTGCTCACCAAGCACATTCTCAAAAACCCTCATATTCCTTTCCATCCATAACCCAGAAAATTGCCATCATAGCACATCTCCCTGAACTACACCCCTTTTCTTTCCACCAACAGCAAATATTTTAACGCTTGGGCCAAAATGTAAACCCTAATTTAGTTTTTATGATAAGCAACCTTTTTCTATATCATTTGGCCAACGTAGTTAGACAACTCAAGGCATTAAAAAAATATACAAAGAAAATGTGCATTACTTGGTCATGGCTGGCTATGGATATCAACTGCAAATATGAGTTTATCAAGAAATAAAAAAATAGAGATCAACCAAAAAATTAGTAACACCACTTACACTACTGCATTGCTGTAGACAATTCCACCTTTCAATAAGCTTAACCTCTCAGGATTATGGCCAACAGTTCGATCATCAACTGCCTAAACCATATTGATAAGTGTGAGAGACATGGTAAGTTTTGGCTGTTAAAGTGAGTAATTTGAAAATTCAACCAGGGCTGATCTGAGTTTGCAAAGGTACTGACAAATATACACACACGTGAAAAATACCGTTTTTCCTTCTACCCAGAAGGTAATAGTTAGGTGTGACCAAAGAAACATGTTATCAATTGATGAAAAATCCTAGCAACACCAAATTAAAATCTCAATACATAGCTTCAGCCTAATTAGCACAAGCAATGAACTCAGCATCTATGATATTACTCTGTGACCGCATGTGACAAAGAACCAATTAAAATTTTACAAAATATAAAAACACACACACGAATCACATCCATGTAAAGAGCTCACTTTGTCAAAGGTTGCATATAGAGATCCGTCAAGACCGCACATGTTAATTTGCTCTTGTCTGCCATAAAAATAAAACAACGGTTATGAAGATATTTTGGAAGACTTAAAGAACTTCATATACAGTAATGAAACAGCTCTTTTAGAAGTTGCATGGATCACAAAATGTCACGTGAATTTAAGGATACAACAAATAAAACAAGTATTTTGTTGTTAGATAACTGAAGTCCATTACTGACAGGTCACATAGCATTCTTTCTGGAACAGAGGAATGAAATACTAAAGTAAAAAAGCAACAATAAAAAAAAAATATTTACAAAAAATACTTACTAGGTGTTGTTAGATATACTTTTTAGAGTCTGTATATGTGAGGCAATCTGAAAGTTTCAAGGATATTCATATTAACACAATTCCAATATTGGGGCTATACCTATCAGAAACAAGTTACAAGAATTGGCTAAGAATCACTTCAATAATTTTATGTGAAACATATGCTTAAAAGTTATAGGTTCCTGATCCATGATTGAGTTTAAGAAGAAATTTACTGGGATTTTTTATCAGTAGAACATGAACAAGCACATGTAAAACCTTGCAATATTAGGTGAAACTATAAATAATTGAGACAGTTCAGTCAGGTAAAAAGAAATCCAAGGATTCTCAACTAAGAAAGAATGATCAAGTCAAATTAATGGAGCAGAAATAGCTCAAGGGGACAAAGTATATTGAAAAAATAAGAGTACACAAGCATTTATTTACTTCTCTCTAGAAGAAATTTTTTTCACTTACCTACATTCACCATAATGCTCCATGTTATGGATTGTCAATACTATTCTCGGTTTCTACAAATTAGTGAATCACACAAGGTAATATTAATATTATAAGAAAAAATGAACTATATTTCTACATTGTTATCCATCAGAAACCTTGAAGATGACACAGTAGTGATAACAAAGTAAATACCTGAAGCGAAAGATAATGATACATATCCCAATAAAGCAAGGGTAAAGCACCTGTCTGCCATTCATGAACATGAATGATATCAGGTTGTGTTCCAGTCACCTGCTATGATGTATACTCTTGTCAGAAATTGGAAGAACAAAATTTGTGAAGTCAACAGTTTTAAATAAATTGTAACAAGGATATCATGCTACAAATAACTTGGCAGAACAGCCGAGAAACACTTGATTTGGAATGTTGGAAGTTATTTATTTGTTTTTTCCTGTGTAGTGTATATAAGTACTACAAATATTCAAACAACACTACATATGCAACTCATTCATGGGACCATGAATTCAAGCAGTCCTTCGCTTCCATATCCATTTTTTTCATGCAAATTAAAACTCAAAGCCAAGATGCCAACAAACAAAGCCTCTACGATCTATCATTTCTAGGCCAGGAGACCAAGTTGACTTTTTTAATCAATGCACATAAATAAGAACAGATAACAACCTGCATCCATTCAAGGCAAGCACGACTAAAGAACAGATATGCCTCCAGCTCATTGTATGAACCCCCATACACATGCTGGCCCTTAAAGAACTGATGTGATGGCTCAATAAATATAACTGGGATTCCTGAAACTGTGCCACTATACGCATGAGTGGGAATCCACTTTCCATCATGATAAGAGTTATATGTTGTGATCAACGTCAAGTCATCGATCTGCTCCCTCTGGATACACTCATAGAAAGGAAGCATTATATCTACTCTATGGCCCCGCAATAAACATGCTCGAGCAAGTCCAGTTACAACATCACCAAGACCACCAACTTTAGCTATTGGTGCCATTTCAGCTGTGACATGAATTATGTGCATGAGTTTGGAATCTTTCTTTACTTCAGAGGGAACTTCCAAGTTCGCATCCCAAGAAGGGAAGCCCTTCTTCCAAAATGGGATTTCATCAGTAGGAGAAGGCCAAACGAATTCCTGAATGCCAAAATCAGTCAAACTTCCTTGCTTTGCAATGCCTACCTGCATATAGAAGTTTTACTAATTAATAATAGTGATTATAACAATAAACATGAAAATTGAAACGTTTGTAGTATCTATGACTTAGTTTTAGAAATTCAGAGTAATTTACAAATTGAATATATATGATGGGCTAGAGTCTAGACTTAGGCTTCAAATAACTTCTAGTACTGATTTTGATTAGATTCACAGCTTCAAAAAAATTTAACCAATACCAATAGGATTCCTCTTCTATGCAAAATTTATTCCCCCCTTGAATTTTAAAACTTTCAGCCGTCCACAAATGAATTCCGTATACAAATACTAAAGCATATCTATTTAACTTAGACTACAGCCGCCCACAAAAATGCATAAAATGAAGCTAAATTATCTCAATAACAACCAAAACTTTCTTCATCGGTCCATATCTCCTTTTACATACCCAGTTTAACCCACAATCAAAATTCAAATATTTACAACAAACTCAAATCATAATAGAAAAATGGAAACTGCAAAAATTAGCATTTGCTTCGTTTTTCCTTTTTTATGGTGGTGTGGAGATGGAGAAATTACCTCTGATGAGAGATGGGTTTGAGCTTGAATTTTGAATTTAGAAGAAGAGCACAAGTTGTGGGCACTCAGTCCATTATTTCTATTCAACACTATCCTCCTCCTCCTCCTTGGATTTGACAATCTTGAACTTGAAGGACCAAAGAACCTTCCTGCAGTTGCACACTCCATTTTCACTCTCATTTGCAGCAGAGACTACTTTTTTTTTTTTTTTTTTCTTTTTTTTTTGGTTGTAAATGAGGGCCAAAGCCCAAGCAGAAAAACCACGATTTGAATAACTCCAAAATACCATGTTTAACGGGTCGCTCAAAAATGGGTTATTTTTCCCAAATACGCAAAAGAGCTCTCACCAATCATCCCGCTAGTGTCAACCTCTCTCTCTCTCTCTCTGTATGAAAGAAACCAAAAATCCCACTAAGCAAGACCCACCAAATCCTTAAACAATCTTTTTTGTTTTTAAAATCCTCCTTGGTGTTGGCGGCATTTGAAGCTGGCCAACAAGTCCAAAGTCAACCTATGAAGACTTGAATTGTTTGTGAACATAAAGATGCGGAGTGC